TGATGATAAAAATCTTCGCAGTACTGATATTCTCTTTCATATTCTTCGTAGTTTTCCTTACATAATAACGAATATGTTTGCGACATGGCAAGATTTTAACAAGTTCAGAGGCGCGGTATTAAAGTTGTGGGTTTTTAAATACATACATATATAATATCCTATTCATATACATACATATAAATCACACTAATGTAATAATGAAATTAAGTCTTATATGCCACGTGAAACACGATAGCTTTTAGAAGCAGTCACGTAGGGTTAGACACTAATTCTTCCAATAATAAAATTACTTCACTTTTTTTCAAAATTTTCTATAAAAAGTCGAGATGATCCTGTGTAATAAAACGAGAACCGATTTATGTAATCATAAATATATAAAGAAAAGTTTAAAACTAAATAAAATAGAAATTGTTATTATGTTCAAACAAATTTAAGTGAAAAGTATGCAATTTCAAGAAAAAAGCAATTGCTTAGTTTTTATGCATACGGCTTAACATTTCCGGTAGGAAGCAGAATGTCAGTATGTATAAATAAAAAGCTTTATCAGGGGAACGTGTTATATTTTCAAATAACAAATAAATAAAAAATACATCGTAATGAAATGTTGCCGTTTATTGCATGTGATCTGATGCCGGATTCAATTTATAGGTTCCCGTAGGTAGCTCGTTCTCCAAGTCATCAGTGGTGAAGTGTTTTACACAGATGACGCTGGTTCGGGCGTTGAAATCCGTTGGTCTCCGGCAGAACTGGATTCACTTTTCCACCAACTCAATGTCGGCCGGAAAAGTAAAAAAAACTGCACCCAGATCCTTTGGCACTAACACTTGCACAATTAACCACTGCACACCTCATTTTTTTTCTTTATTTTTATAACTTTTTTATAAGTTTCCACAAAAAACAAAACAACGCTCAAAATCTTTCGAATTTGTACGAACGAACGAATTGTCACGAACCAGAAAATGTAAACAAAAGTATTGTGTGACGTCAGCGAATGGGTGGATGCTGTCAAATCGACGAAGAGAGGGTTAGCGGTCCGCGAATGGCGCGACCTTTATTTTCTGGATCGTGGATAATAAGGTTATTTGATGTTTACTGTTGTTCTCATTAGCAGCATCACTCTGCTTTGCAGAAGTAAATGACTTCGGCTTGGGGTTTATTGAAGTCGATTTGATATTATTTGACATGTTTCCAGTATTCTCTTCATTAGAAACGAAGGGTGGAGGAGGCGAACGTAAAGAGCTCCGACGTATATCAGCGCAGACCTTACAGAAGAAGCTCTTATCTGTACTGAGCATAAATTCAGCATCCGGCGGCAAAATACCAACACAATCGGTTTGAAAAAGTTCATTGCACTTCGCGCACTGCACTTTCGATTGGCCGCGATCAACTTTTTGGCCGCAACAACAAGGCATAATATGATTTCTGATTGTATTATTATTTATTATTAGATCATTTATTGAAAGATTTAGATTTTGTAAAGAGTTACTGTCTCCAAATTGTAGTACACTCGAAACATTGTGTTGAAGCCAAAAGCCTTCAATGTTTGGGAACCACTGGCAGTTTTCCTGCACAGTCGTCAGCTACAAAGCTGCACTGCTGCCGGAAAACTACCGGTGGCTTTCTTTCGAACTTGGCTAGTATTTAAGCCCGGTTCCGTTTAAACTGCGGTCTTATTCGTGTCAGACAGCAGGCAGCGGACCGGNTACTGTCTCCAAATTGTAGTACACTCGAAACATTGTGTTGAAGCCAAAAGCCTTCAATGTTTGGGAACCACTGGCAGTTTTC